ACTAGAAGGATGTGCAGCTATGACATACAACTATCTACTGGGGCTTTGGGGAGAAAAATAAATAAATAAATAAAATCTTTAAAAAAATATATTTTTGAAAAGAAACAGACCATATGGTGAAATAATTTTTAAAAACTTAAAAAGGTAGGGCCGGCCCTGTGGCTTAGCGGTTGGGTGCGCGCGCTCCGCTGCTGGCGGCCTGGGTTCGGATCCCTGGCGCGCACCAACGCACTGCTTCTCCGGCCATGCTGGGGCCGTGTCCCACATACAGCAGCTGGAGGGACGTGCAACTATGACATACAACTATCTACTGGGGCTTTGGGGGAAAAATAAATAAATAAAATTATAAAAAAAAAAAAAGGTAAAATCACATGAAATAATGACAAAATGTGTCATATTAATAAAAATAGATTTAACTCATCTATTCAAAGAAAAAAATCTTCAGATTAAATCATACAGCAAAACCCAATGCTATGCTATATACAAAAAAAAAAATGCCTAGAAAAAAATGATTTAAAGATTGAAAATAAAAACATGGACAAGAGTTTGTCTGGCAAATGCAAATGAAAATAAAGCAAGACTTGTAAAATTAGATGAAGTAGAAATCTGGCCAAAGAGCATTAAATCAAGAAAGAACAACAAAAGGGTAAAGAAGCAAACCACTTCATTTTAGGCTTCAGAGAAGTATCAAATAATTTCTAAGGAAAATGAAAAGGTGAAAATAAATAAATAATTATTAAGCACCCAAGGAAACAATGCACCATGAGAAAGCAGCAGAAGAATCAGACAGTGGAAAGGTATTCATAAAAATTTTAGCTACTGGAATTCTCAGACACACATTATTAAAAACACCTACTCTTTTTAAAGAAATAAAATCAAGCTTAAACATATCTGCAGGAAACAGCACTATGTAAAATGATCTAGCAGATCTGTAGGGAACCAAGCAATTTCTAGAAATGAAAAATATAATAATAAACATTCAATGGTAGACTCAACAGCAGATCAGATATAGGTGAGAGGTAGTACTGAACTGAAAGACTAGGCAAATTAAATTACCCAGCATGCAAATAGAGGAAAGAAATGGAAAAATGTAAGAGCAGTTAAGAGAAACAGAATAAAGAATGAGATAGAACATTATGTACCTAATTGGACTTCAAGAAGGAGAAGGAAGAATGAGCCAGAAGCAATATTTGAGGAGATAATAGCTGAGACTTTTTCAGAACTGTTGAAAGACATTATGTTACATATTCATGATGCCCTACAAATGTCAAGCAGAATAAAATGAAAAGAAGACCACACTTAGAAAAATTTTCATAAGTGGAAAATTACCAAAGACAAATAGAAATCATAAGTATTCAGAGGAAGGAAAAAAGGGACAAAATTACCTTCAGTGAGTGACTGTTAGATTGAAAGCTGAATTTTCATCAGCAAGAACAGAAAACAAAAAGCAGTGGAATAATGTATTTGATGTACTGATAGGAAAAGTTCTGCTAATCTGTATTCTACACCCAGTGCTAATTTCAAGAATAAGGGTAAAACAGGCATTTTCATACATGCAAAACTGAGGAAGTTCCCACCAACAAACCCTAACTAAAGGTGTACTTTAGGCAGAAAGAAAGGGGTCCCACATGGAAAGTGTGAGATGCAAAAAGAATGTAAGCAAAGTGGTAAATATGTGGGTATATAAAAATGAAAATTCTACATAAAACAATATTTTAACTTGTAAAATAAAATTAAAATACAGAATAACACACCACATAATGTAGTGGGGATAGGCTAATGAAATTCAAAAGTCTTAAGGTCCTGTATAATCCAGGGAGAAAATAATATTATTGATTAAAGTTAGACTTTGAAAAGTTATGCACGCTATGATTTCTAGGTTAATTAGTAAATGAAAAAAAATAGAGTATATAACTACAAATTAGTAGAGGGAAAAATGGAATGAGAAAAACATACTTAAGCAAAATTAAAAGAAAATGAGAAGGAAAACAAAATGGTTGGGTCACACAGAAAGTACAAAATAAATTGGTAGATATAATCCAAATATAGGAGTAATTACATTAAATATAAACGGACTAAATATTCCAGTTAAAAGACAAATGCTATGATATGAGGGGTGGGAGAGTCCAACTATAAGCTGTTTACAAGTGATACCTATAACATTAGAATATATATGTTAAACATAAAAGGATGAAGAAAATTACACTATGCTAATTCTAAACAAAAGAAATAACAGACTTCAAGACAAAAACATTACTGGAGATAAAGGAGGTCACTGCATAATGATAAAAGTTTCAGTATACCATAAGGATAAACTATTTTACATTTAGAAGCACCTAAAGACATTCTTATTTTATATAAAGCAAAACTGAACAGACCAGAAGGAGAAATTAACAAGTCTACAATCATAATGAAAGTTTTTACACACTACTCTCAACAATTAATAGAACGAGTAGACTGAAAAAGTAAGAACATAAAATATTTAAAGAACATAGTTAAGAAAAGTGACTTAATGGATATACATATATATAGACACTGCACCCAATAATTGTGGAATATACTCTTTTAACCATAAATTAACCTTTAAAAAATTTGACATATACTGGGCCATAAAGTATATCTCAAAATTTCAAAGGCTGTAATAATACAGACTGTGTTCTCTAGCCACAATGCAATCAGACTAGAAAACCACAACAAAAAGATAGTTAGAAAAACCTCATACCATGGAGAACTAAAAAATACACTTCTAAGTAACCTATAGGTCAAAAAAGAAGTCAAAACAAAAAATAGAAAATATTTTAAAATAAGCAATAACAAATCTTATATATTACAATATGTGGAATTCACTTATAGCAATACTTAGAAAGGTATAGCATTAAATATATATAATATAGGAAATAATATATGAGGATACCTTTGATTTTTTGGAAGGGAAGAATTTTTTATGACTAAAAACATTTTAACCATAGAGAAAAGATTGATAAATTAGAATTTATCAAAATTAAAAACTTTTGTTTATCAAAAAAGTGTTCAGAAAGACATATAGAGAGAAAATCATAGAGAGAGAGAAGTGCAAACTACAAAGCAGAAGGAGATATTTACAAGACACATAACCTAGACTACAGCCATGCGCCACACGACATTTCGGTCAATGATGGACCCCACATAGGACAGTAGTCCCATAAGATTAGTCCCATAGAGCCTAGGTGCATAGTAGGCTATACCATCTAGGTTCGTGTAAGTACACTCTATGATGTTCATACAACAACGAAATTGCCTAACAATGCATTTCTCAGAATGTATCCCCATCGTTAAGTGATGTGTGACTATACGTGAAGAACTCCTAGGAACTGATATAAAAAGACAACTCTAAAGACAAACAGGCAAGATATTCTAAACTCTATGCAAAAGAGGAAATTCAAATGGCTAATAAACATATAAAATGATGCTTAACCTTAATCAGGGATATTTAAATTAAAACTTCAATGTATATACCCACACACACACACGTGTCAAAATTTTAAAATACCCAGATTGGCAAGGATGTGAAGCAACAGAACTCACATATACAGCTGGTGGGAAAGTAAACTGATACAACCACTTTGGAAAAACAGTTTGGCGCATCTACAACTGTTCAAAATATATATACATACACTATGGCAATTTATAGCAATTCTACTCCTAAAAATATACCTAGAGAATATTTTTCACATATGTACCAGGAGAAATGTACATGATTCTTCAGAGTGGCATTATTTATGACAATCAAAACTGCAAACAATCCAAATATGCCACAGCACCACAATGGATAAATAACGGTATATTCATATAACTGAATGCCATATTGTAATGAAAATGAATATATATCACCAGCATGCATCGGCATAAATGGATTTTGCAAATGGCTTTGAGCAAAAGAAGCAGGGCACACAAGATATATACAGTATGATGACATTTGTTTCAATTTCAAATCAAATAAAACTACATATTATTGAGGGATGCATACAAAGAAAGTAAAATTATAAAGAAAAGCAATGGAAGAATTTTCACAAAAGCCTGGATAGTCGTTAACTCGGTGAGAGACAGAGGGAACTAACAGGGTCGGACCCATGTGGAAGAATTCTAAGCTAATGGCAACTTTCTAGTTCTCTCTTTGAGTCGTGATTACATTGTGTTCACCTTATAGTCATTCTTTGAACTCTTCACGTTTTACATCTTCTGAATGTATGATATTTTTCACAATGTAAAAATGAAAAAATAAAAGCAGTGGAATCAAACACAAAATTAAGGTTAATGTCCCCTAGGAAGAGGGGTGGTGCTGGGATGGGTTTGGGGTGGAGCAGACCAGGATTTCAAAACAGTAATGTTCTGTTTCTTAATCTGGTTGGTGGTTGGCAGATGTTTGTTCTATTGATATACTAAGCATCCTGCACATAATTTTTAACTATTTGAATCTTCCTGATATTTAATTTAAAATGTAGAGAAAAAGCAAACAGCTCAGAAACATCCTAAAGAGTGGTTAGGTGTTGCACTAATTCACAATATTGTGAACTCGCCTGGAAACCTTTATACCACTGTTACCATGAGAAAACGAATTTGAAAGTTTTAATTACTTGGCCACACAACCTTTTGGAACATCACTAATAAAATGCAAGTGACCTTACTTGAGGATGGTGCCCCCACCAAGCCCTCCTGTGAGGCCAGGGAGGAAGCTGAGCCCTCTTGTGAGGCCAGAGAGGAGGTGTGCCGGTTGATGGGATTCTGGTCCCAGGCTATGTGCTTCTTGCCACAAGACATTATTGTTCCTGAGTGAAGCCCCCTGATCCTCCCCTTGACCTTCACATTTGTAGCCAGTAAGCAGACCACGCTACCCTCTCCATAGCCTGGCAATAACCACCCTGTAAAGTGGTGTTATCTGCTGCAATTTGAATAACAGCCCAGCCTACCAAAATCAGATTAATATTGCTTTATTCTACGAAATGAGTTCAGTGTTCTCTCACCTCTGTCTTCCAAGTTCTGCAGTTTATGTTTGAAGCTAGTACTTTTCACCAATGACTCTTGGTTCACAGTCTTAAAAACAAAATAAACAGAAGGTATATATATGTACTTTACGTCAAAATAAGAAACATGTGGTGCTACATTATCCCTTGAGAAGGAATAACCCAGTACCTTATGCAAATATAATATTACTTCCGGAAAACCAGATGAATAAAATAATTAAATAGTACCTTAGACACATTTTCTTCAACTTCTGAGTGCTCCAAGGAAGAGAGATCGCTCAGGGGGTGGGGACTTGGAAGTTCTGAGTATTAGAGAGAACAGTTTCAAGGGAATAAACACACTAAGAAGCAGTATCAGGCAACAACATTGCATTATCGCTCTATATATTAAATCTCGCCATCAAAAAAAACGAGACACTGTTCTAAATTTAAAAAAAAGTTTGTGTCTTTCAGGGCATGTATGGGTATTCGGCTTGTAGGTCTGTAGATAAAATGAATCCAGCTACCTCAACTAGATCAGCATCTTTAGTAGCTGCCCATCTGGCCCCAAATACATGGGCAAGGATTCTCCCACCTCTCTTTCTCTCTCTCTTAGACCCACTCCTTCATTTCCTCTTACTCTCTAATGATTTATTTTCCTCTCTCCTCTTTTCTTTCCTTACTTCTTTTCTGCCAGTGGCAGCCAAGCTAAGAGGTTGTCAGTCAGTGTTTACTAAGTGCCATTATGTGCCTGGCGATGTGCTAAGCTGCAGAATAATAATGGTGAACAAAACAACCCCCTACTCTTACAAATTTAAAAGATGCGAATAGTTTTAATAAAATACAGTGGGCGTTAAGATAAACCCTATAGGTCAAGGGTTGGCAAACTCTGGCCCGTCAGGCCAAATCAGGTCTGCCACTTGGCTTTATAAACAAAGTTTTGTGGAAACACAGTCACAGCTCTAGGTTTACATCTTGTCTGTGGCTGACTTTGTGCTATAACTGCAGAGTTGAATATTTGCAACAGAAATCATATGGATCAAAAAGTAAAATATGCTTCCTATCTGGTCTTTTATAGAAAAAGTTAACTAAGCCCTGCTATAAGTCATCATTTGAGTTTTCTTGCTTCTTTAAAAGAGGAAAAGTACCAGCAATTCTAATGTACAAGCTGGTCTCAAATGTTAAAGTACAATTAAGACACAATATCCTCTATCTTTTGCTAATGAGGACATTAAAGAGAAGGACAATCATATCTTCACTTTCTTCAAGAGATATTAAAAGAAAAATGTTTTATTTACTTCAAACTACCCTTCCCAAAATATAAATTTCTTTCTATGTAAATCAACAGAAAATAAGGTACCTGTTTTCTGGGCAGAATCTTCAGGAGTTAACAAAGCAGAACTATCCTGAAATTTTGTTCCAGAAATTTTTGGAGGTGTGGCGTTATTTTGCCTGGAGGTATCTTTCCATAACGGTGTTAGAAGTTTAGCCTAAAAGTGTTAAACATTCATAACCACTCAAAACAAGTTATCAAAAAGTTCTAAGACATATCCAATATTCTTCAATAAAGTGTAAGTATTGGATTTACTCCGTTTGAAAATAAACACTAAAACCATAAGATCCCAGAGTTGGAAGCACATTAGGTCATATATCAATTGATAACTCTAAATCAAAGATAACTCAATCAAAGTTCTCAAAGCATGGTCCCAGATGAGAGTAGCAGCAACACCTGGGAGCCTGATGAAAATGCAAATTCTCAAGCCCCATCTGTGATCTACTCAATCGGAAACTCAGGACAGGACCAGCAACCTGTGTTCCAACAAGCCAACCTGATCATTCTGATGATCACTCCAGTCTGAGAGCCACTGCTCTCCATCAGGATTCAGCAAACTACAGTCCCTGCCTCTTCTTCTAAATAAAATTTTATTGCAACACGACACACCCATCTGTTTAGGTATTGCCCACGGCTGATTTCATGCTACAATGGCAGAGCTGAATAGTCCCAGCAGACACCATATGGCCCCAGGGTCCAAAATATTTACTCTCCGGCCCTTTACACAAAAAGTTTGCTGCCCCCTGCTCTAAATTATTCTCATAAACTCCAACACAGAGAAGTGAAGTTTGAATACCAACATTTGTACAAAGTCAGCAATACCCTCACTGAATAACAGCATAGATTTCCCGTCAGTTGCCCAGCTTAAATTTATAGATTCTCAAAACTTTGATGTTTCTTTGGTGCTTATTTAAAACAAAGCTGTATTTACTAAAAACCATTCTTTTGGCCTATTTCTAACTGATAATTCATTATTTCAGGTTAAACTATTCAACAAATATTTAGCTATTTACTCCGGCCCACAAGTTTAATCTATCAACTATTTCTGTCATTGCAGAACATGAGAGACCCTTAGATTCACAGGAGGCAACAATCCCCCAAGCTGATGGAAGAAGGCAGGTGGAGGGCAGATAACCAACTATGGTTGGAGCACTAACCGCATTGTATTTCCACACAGGCAGGCAGGGTGCTGACACCCTCAGAATCCCAGCAGCCTCCCCCTTAGAATACTTGGCACTGCACTCTGTAGTGTGTTTTTGTGTGTGTGTGTGTATATATATATACGCACACATACACACATATATCATTTGACAGGCAACAAAAGCCAACTGCTGAAAGAGGTAATTCAGCTAATAAACAGGAAAAATTAGGCTTTGAATTGGTCTGGAGGACACTGGTGTCCATATTCGTAACTACTTTGCTATAAAACAAGGATAATTGAAGGGAATTAAGAAACTTTACAAGTTTGTTCAATCTTTATATAAGCCCAACGGCATTTCAACCACACGCAAAATAAAAATGTAAATGTTTAGATCATTAAAAGCTTTGGAAGTAATAAGTCAACAAACTGAAAACTAAGGGAAGAATTAAACCAAGAAGTTGATTTTAAAATGTAAATTTAAAAGAGCATACATTTGCAGGAAATCAGAATAGCCCAGATTTTAAGCATTGCTCATAATAAATCTTTTAGCGACATTTGGGAACAATGAAAAAAGATCCTAAATCTTTACCCAAGATTTACTTGCTAAATGTTTACTAAATGTTTAGAGGTCCTTGCAGTTTCTATTGACAGTGGTTTACATACTAGGAAACCACTGGTTTGTTATTCTCATATTCCTGATGGAATTTTTTTTTGAGAAATAAGTGAAGTTTAACCCTAAACAGATCAACCTGTGCCACGCTACTGCCATAAGGGTACAGGGCAGCCCAGATAAAATGTACTTACTTTGTCTTTCTCACGGTCACCACCACTAGTAGGAGGGAAACGTGGCAAGACTAAAATGAAAAGAAATAAGTGTACAATGGATATGTTTACGTAGGAGAAATACAAAAATTCACTTCTCCTCTCCCAATTATACACATCCACACTAGAAGCAATTCCCACTTCCTACAGCTTGCTCAAATACCCAGCTCTTAAGACCCCTTTCTAATTATTCACCTTGTTCCTCACCACCCAGCATGAATTCTCTGCTCCAGACCCTGTCCTGAATGTTGTCTTCACATCCTCAGTCCCTCCTTTAGTTTCACCTAACTTGGAATGCTTCCCCTTCTCCACACCTCTCCAAATCCTATTCTTTTCCCAAGGATTAGCTCAAGTCCCGCCCACCTCTTCCTTGAAGCTTTTCCTGATGATTCCATCTCATGTCCGATTCCTCTTATCTGAACTCCTCCTCCATTTATCTATAGGTCTTATTTAACAATTATTGGTCAATTCCATATTCTTTTGTATCGTTTCACATATGTACATTTTACCTTTCTGGCATAATTGTATCCGGGGAGGTCACGTGATCATATATTTCTTTGGTAACCTCTCCCATCATGTACTGAAAAGTAAATACCTGCTGATTTATTTGACAAGTGACTTGAAAGAGGACATAACGCCAAACTTACCTTTTAAGCTACTTCTGATTCTTGTCTTTTTTCTACCAGAATATGGTTTTAGGGATTTCTTTCTTTGGTTACTGGTCCAAGATAGCTCACTGGTACTAGCACTTGAATCTTGATCACTCTCTGAGAAGAGGTGTTTCCTGTAACTAAGCTTTTACAAACACAGGGGATAAATGACAACTATTAAAGCAGTGTTAGTGCCATTTATGTACAATTAAACATATTATAAAGTTAGACAAAAGAAAAGTAACTCCTTCTTCTAGAAGACTCGGCTGTCTTATATAATAAAAAGGCATAAAAGTACTGAGGGGGGAGGCAAAGAAGAAATGGATTATTTCTTTAGTTAATTCTCAACCAAACTGCTGTTGTAAAGGATGACAAAATCCTCTCTAATCAAACACTTGCAACTGAAAAGATACGAGGTAACAGTTCAAAAGCTGAAGCACCTGAATGTTGTGTCAACACTATAACTTCAAAATACTAACCTAAGTGACAAAAAAAAAATACATATTAAAATAAGTTTTGCAAAGACATGCTTATCTATATCTTAGAGGAACCAAAATAAAACAAGAGGGTCATTTCTATTTAAGACTTAAAGCATTTTGAAACTGAGCCTGGACTAGAAAGTATATAGATTTACGGCAAGTTTAATCTGTTCTGGTGGATCATTCAACCGTACTTTGATATTTACACATTTTAAAAATCTTTGATTTTGGATTCATTTTTAGAAATGCTGTGACAAATAAATGTTTATGCTCAATTTTTATAGGGAGTTTCTTTTGATCTTAACAAAAACACATACTCTGTTTGAGCTCTTTCTGTTGTACCCCTCCAGAAGCCCAGTCCTTAAACCACCATGCCTCTATAGGGGCGCCACCATTCAGCTGTTAACAATTCATTCTCATTTCAGGCCAGGGAGGAGTCTTATGAATCCAAACACATTAAGTGGTGACACTATCTTATATGGTCTTCTCAAATATGAAACACACCAGCTGGAGGATACACCCTGTGCCTGGAATGGCAAAGTACAGAATCAGCTCCCAAGGCCACCGCTATATCAGGATGAGAACTGGCGTCACCCTCATTTATGACAGTACAACTCATAATATTTAAGGTAGATGATGGTGAGCTACTTATTTTTCAAACGAATTCATTTTTGAAGACCCAATTACTCCTACTTTAAAATGTTTAGCAGTTCAACATTTTGTAGAGAAGGTCATTTTTAAAAGGAACCTTGGGAGGGGCCGGCCCGGTGGCCCAAGCAGTTAAGTGTGCACGCTCTGCCTCGGTGGCCCGGGGTTTGCGGATTCGGATCCCGGGCGCGTACCGCCGCGCTGCTTGTCAAGCCATGCTGTGGCGGCGTCCCATATAAAGTAGAGGATGATGGGCACAGACACTAGCTCAGGGCCAGTCTTCCTCGGCAAAAAAAGAGGAGGATCGGCATCGGATGTTAGCTCAGGGCTGATCTTCCTCACAATAAATAAAAGGAACCTTGGGAGCCAGGCCTATTTGCATCTTACTTATTAGCTGGGGGACGGGGGCGGGGGGGGGGTGCGGAAGGTTGAGGTTACCACCACATTTGTCACAGTGTTCTTCAGCCCAGTGTCTCGTAAAGAGTAAGCATTACTTCATTTAATGCCCTCAATTAAAAAACCATGTATCGAGGCTTTCACAGTTTCTTTGGTCTTATATAAAAAGGTGTTGAAGAAAGTTATTTACAAAAACAAAAGTATTTAGAATAACGATTCTTAAATTTGGCTGCATATTAGTATCACCAGGACGAGGCTTTAAAAAAATCCCAATGCCTGGACATTAGTCAGGATCAATTAAGTCAGAATCTTTGGGGAAGGGATCCAGGCTTCAGTAATTTCTTCAGCTCTCCATGTGATTCCAGTTGGAGGACTGGGCAGCCAAGAATGAGAACCATTGTTAAAAGAAAGCCAGAAGGGGCCTTAACTCATTTGTTTGAAGCCCATGATCTCAATTGTAGAAAAATTTTTCATTTAGTGTTCGTATAGAGATTTTTTTTTAACGCGCTGACCATAGGTTTAGAGCGTTGTGCTTCCCAAAGTGCGAGCAACACTGCAGGGGTGTAACGTGGTGCACACAGGAACAAAACCTTGCCACTGACTCAGCGTGCAACACTTCTGCTCAGTTCATTAACACCTCTGATTGTACTCAGGATAAATCTCAGGTGCTAGCTGGTCTTTAACTTCTCTTCTACTTACTAATCTTTTTTAACAAAGCAAGAACAGGCATTAGGCTCAAAGCCTAATACGAGTAAAAGTGTAGCTAAACATGACAACTTTGTTCTCTTTTGTTGTATTTTGGGGGGCTTACCTACTATTTGTCACAATTAATGCTGATTTTCCATTTGAAAGTGAAATAATTTCTTTTAAAATAAGTTTAAGATAAATTTAACTGAGAGAAATAGAGATAAAGAGCAGTGATGAAAAAATTTGAAGATGCTAAACAAAATTTAGGGAGTATTGCCCCCAAACAATAAAAATTATTCCATTACCGACATCCTTATTTCTTGCTTTCTGTCACCCTCGAAATCAGACTCTTCCCTAAAACAAAACATATCGAGTTAATGGAACTGAACCACCATCACCTTCTCCCTCCCAGACTTCATAGCCCTAATTTTTGTTTTCCTTTCATGCGTCCTTTGTCTGATTGTGAGCCCAGCGCATGGGAGGTACCTCATTCTGTAGACAAACTTTTCACCTTGCAATCCATTTCCCTAGTTCCTCTTTCTGACAACAACTGGTTATTCAAAACAAAAGAAACCTCTGTTGAGCCCTTCACTGTCAGGCATACAAAGAAGAGGAGGGCAGGGTGGGATCAGCAAGTAAGCAGCAAGCTGTGGCAATGCTGCAGAGCAGTATTTCCCATCTGGCTCTACCTTAGAATCAATTGGGGTGCTGAAAAAGAAGGTTTCCCTGATGATTAGTGATGTTGGGCATCTTTTCATATACCTATTGGCCATTTGAATGTCTTCTTTGGAGAAATATCTATTCAAATCCTTTCCCCATTTTTTTAATCAGGTGATTTTTTGCTATTGAATTGCAGGAGTTCCTTATATATTTTGGATATTAACCCCTTATCAGATATATGACTTGCTATTATCAAAGAAACCAAAGTGTCGGCGAGGATATGGAGAAATTGGGACCCTTGCACATTGTTCGTACGAATGTAAAATGGTATAGCTGCTATGGAAAACAGCATGAAGTTTCCTCAAAAAATTAAAAAGAGAACTACCATATGATCCAGCCATCCCACTTCTGGGTATATATTCAAAGGAAATGAAAACAGGATCTCGAAGAGATATCTGCATTCCCATGGTCATTGCAGCCTTATTCACTATAGCCAAGATCTAGAAACAACATAAGTGTCCACTGATGGATGAATGGATAAACAAAATGTGGTACATACATATGATAGAATACTAGTCAGCCTTAAAAAGAAAGAAACCCTGAAATATGCAACAACATAGATGAACTTGGAGGACATTATGCTAAGTGAAATAAGCCAGTCACAGAAGGACAAATACTGCATGATTCCACTTATAAGAGGTATCTAAAATGGTCCAACTCATAGAAACAGGATAGAATGGTAATTGGCAGGGGCTGGGGGAAATGTGGAGTTGCTATTCAACAGGTATAAAGTTTCAATTATGCAAGATGAATAAGTTCTAGAGATTTGCTGTATAAAGTGCCTATAGTTAACAATACTGCATTGTGTACTTAAATTTTTTTTAACAGGGTAGAGTATATGTTAAATGTTCTTATCACAATGAAAAAAAAGGGAAAAAAAAATGAAAAAGCTAATGCACCCCTATTTCCAGGCAATCAGTGATCTACATTCTGTCCCTATAGATTTGCATTTTGTAGTATATTATGTTAATGGAATTATACAATATGTAGTACCTTTCTTTTATCTGGCTTCTTTCACTTGGTGTGATTATTTTGAGATTCATTCATGTTGTGTACATCATAGCTAATTCCTTTTTATTTCTGAGTAGTATTTCACTGTATGGATATAACAAAATTTATTTATCCATTCAACTATCAATGTACATTTGGGTTGTTTCCAGTTTGGGACTGTTACAAATAAAGCTGCTATAAACATTCGTGTACGTGCCTTTGTGTGGACATATGCTCTTATTTCTCTGGGGTAAATACCTAGGATTGAAATAGCTGGCCCCTAGGATAGGTGTATATTTAACATTTTAAGAAACTACCAGCAGTGTATGAGTTCCAGTTGCTCCACATCCTCATCAACACTTGGTATAGTCAGTCTTTCTAATTTTAGCCATCCTAATACATGTGTACTAATATCTCATTATACTTTTAATTTACATTTCCCTAATAGCTAATGATGTTGAGCAACTTTTCATGTGCTTACCTGCCATCTGTGGATCTTCTTTGATGAAGTAGCTATTCAAATCTTTTGCATATATTTTTATTTTTATTGCCTATAGTTATTATTGAATTTTGAAAATACTTAATATATATTGGGTACAAGTCCTTTATCAGATGTACACTTTACAAATATTTTTTGCAAGTGTATGGCTGGTCCTTTCATTCTCCTAACAGTGTTTCTCAAAGAGCAGAAGTTTTTAATTTTGATGAAGTCCAATTTATCAACTTGTTCTTTTATGGACTTATTTTTGGTGTCATATCTAAGAAATTTTTGCCTAACCCAAGGTCACAAATATTTTTTATTATATTTCTTTCAAATATATTTTACATTTAGGTCTATGATCCATTTTTAGTTAATTTTTTATACGATAGAAGGTAAAGATCGAAGATCATTTATTTTCTTGCATATATGGATATTCAATTGTTCTAGCACCATTTTTTTTAAACTATCCTTTCTCCACTAAATTGTCTTTGCATTTCTGTCACAGATTAGTTATCCATATATGTGTAGGTCTATTTTTGGACTTCCTAGTCTGTTTCATTTATTTATCTATCTTTATGCCAAAACCATACTCTCTTGATTACTGTAGATTTATAGTAAGTCTTGAAAGCAGGTAGTATGTTAGCCCTCCCACTTTGTATTCCTTTTTGAAATCTGTTTTGGCAATTATAGGTCCTTTAAATTTCCATCTGAAATTTAGAAATAGCTTGCAATTTCTAAA